TTTTTTTTTTTTTTAGTTAAATTGGATTTCTTATAGCCGCCCATTTTAGCAAACCACTCTGGGGCGGCTCCCGACTTTGCTCACCCCTTACCTTAATTAGCCATTTACGGTGGTTCAACCCAAGGACATTTTGGAAGTAAACACCCCGGGATTTACCGCTGGGCTTTGGGCCTCTTGTCTGCTTTTGCAAAGCTCCATAAACAGGGCCAGAAATGTCCTCTGGAGTTTGTAGACTTTGCCCATTTCCGTCACGTCGGCTGTCCGGGGCCTCGGTTATGTTTTCTGGACCGAGCTTGTTTGGAACTGCCGAATCTCCTCGCAGGAAGGCGCTTGTTTGCTGTACTTTGGCATTGTTGAACCAGGAGATCAAAGGGGATCACGGTTATCTCTCTTTCTCTCTCTCTCTGCTTGCTGTCACGGCAAATCTGGTCAATGGGACAGGGCCGGCTGGGGCTTCGTATTGCGGTGAAAAAAATCTGGCCTCGAAGTCTTGCCTTAAGTGACTTTGGAAAGCGGAGAATCGATCCGTTCCCACCCACCAAAAGAAAAAAAAGGGATTTAGCGTGGAAGTGCATTTCTGCACGTCGATCGGTAGAGCTTCCATGGACAGGGGCAGTCTATCACTACTTATTTCCCGGGAGGAAAAAATGGGAAGAGGGTGGCTCACCCCCTTCTCCCCTTACTGTGGCAGCCAATGTGAAGGGGAATTTTTGACCCGGTCGATCTCTTGAGCAATGATTTGAATTAGAATATTTATTTGGGTGCTTAGCATAAGTTACTCCTCCACTTATGACCATGGAGACCAGAACTTCGATGGGGGTCATGAAGTGAATCGTCGGGTGACCACAGTTTTTCCGGTCCAATGGGAATTACAGGCAGTCCTTGACTTATGACCACAATGGAGCCCCCCAATATCGGTTGTTAAGTAAGACCGTCGTCACTTCTTTGAATACTTTGAACAGTCACTGAACAAGTGGTCGTAAGTTGGAACTCTCTTTTTTTCCTGAAGATCACCTATGCCAGGGGTGGGTAACTATGGGCCCTTTTAAGACTTGGGACTTCAACTCCCAGAATTCCTGAGCCAACATGGGGAACGATGGCCCTTTTATGACTTGCGGACTTCAACTCCCAGAATTCCTGAGCCAACATGGGGAACGATGGCCCTTTTATGACTTGCGGACTTCAACTCCCAGAATTCCTGAGCCAACATGGGGAACGATGGCCCTTTTATGACTTGGGGACTTCAACTCCCAGAATTCCTGAGCCAACATGGGGAAGGAAGGCTCTTTTATGACTTGTGGACTTCAACTCCCAGAATTCCTGAGCCAACATGGGGAACGATGGCCCTTTTATGACTTGGGGACTTCAACTCCCAGAATTCCTGAGCCAACATGGGGAAGGAAGGCTCTTTTATGACTTGTGGACTTCAACTCCCAGAATTCCTGAGCCAACATGGGGAACGATGGCCCTTTTATGACTTGGGGACTTCAACTCCCAGAATTCCTGAGCCAACATGGGGAATAAAGGCTCTTTTATGACTTGGGGACTTCAACTCCCAGAATTCCTGAGCCAACATGGGGAACGATGGCCCTTTTATGACTTGGGGACTTCAACTCCCAGAATTCCTGAGCCAACATGGGGAATGATGGCCCTTTTATGACTTGGGGGCCAAGCGAGTCAGGAATTCTGGGAGTTGAAGTCCACGGGTCATAAAGTGGCCACGGTTGCCCATCGCTGATCTGTGCTGAATTTTCTACCAAACCATCCACTCTGTTGTTCCTTCCTCTTCTTCCCCATTTTAATTTTCCAAGAAGGCCGCTGGGAATTACGGGTAGTCCTCGACTTACAACGGTTTGTTTAGTGACCGTTCAAAGTTACAAGGGCACTGAAAAAAGTGACTTATGGCCGCTCTCCACACTGATGACCATTGCAGTATCTCCGTGGTCTGGTGATCAAAATTCGGACGCTTGGGCTACCGGTTCATATTTACGACGGTTGTAGTGTCCTGGGGTCACGCGATCCCCCTTTTGCGACCTTCTGACAAGCAGAGTCAACGGGGGAGCCAGATTCACTTAACAACGAAGTTATTCACTTAACAAATGCAATGGTTCATTTAACAAATGCAATGATTCATTTAACAAATGCAATGATTCACTTAACAAATGCAATGATTCACTTAACAAATGCAATGATTCATTTAACAAAACAGTTACTCACTTAACATTTTACATCCTTTCTTGTCACAGGCGAACCGGTAGTGGAGATTTCAGGTGGGTCCGGCCTCCCGCCCTGGTGCTGTGCCATCCTATTTAGCCACGTTTTTGAGGCCGGACACATGCGCGGAAGTCCGAGCGCATGCGCAAAAGGTGCGCGCACAGGGAGAACCAGTGGTAGAAATAAGTGAAACCCACCGCTGCATGTCAAACGTCTGAATTTTGATCACATGACCGTGGGGATGGCTGCCGCGGTCGTAAGTGTGAAAAACGGTCGTAAGTCCCTTTTTGCCGTTCCGCTGTAGCTTTGAACGGTCATTAAATGCAGCGTTCTGGGATGACGTGATCCCTTTCGTGATCTCCTGACCAGCAAAGGCGATGGGGAGGAAGCCAGATTCACTTAACAACTCGGTTCCTCACTTATCAACCGCAGTGATTCACTTAACAACGGTGGCAAAAAAGGTCGTAAAATGGAGCAAAAACTTTCTCAACCAATGTCTCGCTTAGGAAAAGAAAATCCGGGCTCAATCGTGTTCAATCCAAAATTCCTGTCATTAATTGAGACATTGGTTCAGAGAATTTGTTCCACTTAACGACTTTTCTTGCCACATTTGTTAAGTGAATCACTGCCATTGTTAAATGAGCAACACGGTTGTTAAGTGAATCTGGCTTCCCCTGTCGACTTGCCGGTTGGAAAGTTTGACAAAACAACTCCTGAACACTGCAACCGTCATAAAGATGAGTCAGGGGTCAAGCACCCCAACATCAATGACGTGAGCAAGGGGCAAATGCTGCAATAGTCGGTCATAAATGTGAAAAAACGATCCTACATATGCCGCAACGGATGGTCGTAAGTGTGAAAAAAATCATCCTACGTATGCCGCAACGATCGTCGTAAGTGTGGAAAAACCATCCTAAGTATGTAGCAACGGTCAGTCATAAGTATGAAAAAAACGATCCTACGTATGCCACAATGGATGGTCATAAGTGTGAAAAAACCATCCTAAATATGCTGCAACAGATGGTTGTAAGTGTGGAAAAAACCATCCTAAATATGCCGCAAAGGACAGCGGTAAGTGTGAAAAAGCCACAACAGACGGTCGTAAATATGAAACAACCATCCTACGTATGCCGCAGCGGACGGTCGTAAGTGTGAAATAAACCATCCTAAGTATGCCGCAACGGACGGTTGTAAGTGTGAAAAAGCCACAACGGACGGTCGTAAATTTGAAAAAGCCATCCTAAGTATGCTGCAATGGACGGTCGTAAGTGTGAAAAATCCATCCTAAGTATGCTGCAACGGACAGTCGTAAGTGTGAAAAACCCACAACAGATGGTCGTAAGCGTGAAAAAGCCATCCTACATATGCCGCAACGGTTGGTGGTCGTAAGTCTGAAATAAACCATCCTAAATATGCTGCAATGGACGATCGTAAGTGTGAAAAAACCATCCTAACTATGTCGCAATGGACGGTCGTAAGGTTGAAAAAAACCATCCTAAATATGCTGCAACGGTCGGTGGTCGTATGTCTGAAATAAACCATCCTAACTATGCCGCAATGGACGGTCGTAAGTATGAAAAAACCATCCTAACTATGCCGCAATGGACGGTCGTAAGTGTGAAAAAACCTTCCTAACTATGCCGCAACGGATGGTCGTAAGTATGAAAAAGCCACGATGGACGGTCATAAGTGTGAAAAAACCATCCTAAATATGCCGCAACGGTCAGTGGTCGTAAATCTGAAATAAACCATCCTAAGTATGCCGCAACGGACGGTCGTAAGTGTGAAAAAAACATCCTAAGTATGCCGCAACGGACGGTCGTAAGTGTGAAAAAGCCACAACGGACGGTCGTAAGTGTGAAAAAACCATCCTACATATGCCGCAATGGTCAGTGGTCGTAAGTCTGAAATAAACCATCCTAAATATGCTGCAATGGACGGTCGTAAGTGTGAAAAAGCCACAACGGATGATCGTAAGTGTGAAAAAACCATCCTAAATATGCCGCAATGGTCGGTGGTCATAAGTGTGAAAAAACCATCCTAAGTATGCCACAAGTGTGAAAAAGCCACAACGGACAGTCGTAAGTGTGAAAAAACATCCTACATATGCCACAACGGACGGTCGTAAGTGTGAAAAAACCAACCTAAATATGCCACAACGGTCGGTGGTCGTAAGTCTGAAATTAACCATCCTAAGTATGCTGCAATGGACGGTCGTAAGTGTGTGAAAAAACCATCCTAAGTATGCCGCAATGGACGGTCGTAAGTGTGAAAAAGCCACAACGGACGGTCGTAAGCGTGAAAAAGCCATCCTACATATGCCGCAACGGTTGGTGGTTGTAAGTCTGAAATAAACCATCCTAAGTATGCCGCAACGGACGGTCGTAAGTGTGAAAAAAACCATCCCAAATATGCCGCAACGGTCGGTGGTCATAAGTCTGAAATAAACCATCCTAAGTATGCCGCAACAGATGGTCGTAAGTGTGAAAAAGCCACGACAGACGGTCATAAGTGTGAAAAAAACATCCGAAGTATACCGCAACGGACGGTCGTAAGTGTGAAAAAGCCATCCCCAGTCCCTTTTTTTCTTCCCCAGAGCCGGCTGCCCACGGTCGCTAAGCGTAGCGTTGGCAGTCGAGGACCGCTCTGCAGGTGGGCAGGAGCTGGAGGCGGCTGCCGCTGAGGAGGCCGAGCCGGGCGGGGTTGCCTCATTGCCGACGCGGCGGGAGGGGCGGGCGGGGGGCCTGGCCGGGCCAGCCTATGAGGCCGGGCTGCCTCCGCGCCTCCCTCGCCCTTCTTAACCCGGAGCCTCCGCGGCCTCCTGCCGCTCCTGCCGCTCGGAGGTTGGGAACCATGCCGGCGCCCTACACGCGGATGGTGGGGTGAGCCAAGCGCCGCGGGGGGGGGGGGTCCTCCTCTGGGGGTGGGCAGGGGGGGGGTCGCTGGGCACTGCTAAGTGGGGGAGGGGGTTGAGCCGGATCCCCCCCCTCTTTTCCTTCCTTCAGCCCTTCTCTCCTTCCCTCTTTTCCTCCCTTCCTTCTTTCATTCCTCCCTCCCTCCCTTTTTTCCCCCTCTTTTCCTTCCTTCCCCCGTTCTCTCCTTCCCTCTTTTCCTCCCTCCCTTCATTCCTCCCTCCCTCCCTCCCTTTTTCTCCCCCTCTTTTCCTTCCTTCAGCCCTTCTCTCCTTCCCTCTTTTCCTCCCTTCCTTCTTTCATTCCTCCCTCCCTTTGTCTCCCCCTCTTTTCCTTCCTTCGCCACTTCTCTCCCTCCCTTTCCTCCCTTCCCTCTTTCATCCCTCCCTCCCTTTTTCTCCCCCTCTTTTCCTTCCTTCAGCCCTTCTCTCCTTCCCTCTTTTCCTCCCTTCCTTCTTTCATTCCTCCCTCCCTCCCTTTTTCTCCCCCTCTTTTCCTTCCTTCAGCCCTTCTCTCCCTCCCTTTTCTCCCTTCCCTCTTTCATCCCTCCCTCCCTTCTTCTCCCCCTCTTTTCTTTCCTTCCCCGTTCTCTCCTTCCCTCTTTTCCTCCCTTCCTTCTTTCATCCCTCCCTCCCTCCCCTTTTCTTCTCCCCTCTTTTCCTTCCTTCCCCCGTTCTCTCCTTCCCTCTTTTCCTCCCTTCCTTCTTTCATCCCTCCCTCCCTTCTTCTCCCCCTTTTCCTTCCTTCCCCTGTTCTCTCCTTCCCTTTGCTCCCTTCCCTCTTTTCCTCCCTTCCTTCTTTCATCCCTCCTTCCCTTCTTCTCCCCCTCTTTTCCTTCCTTCGCCCCTTCTCTCCCTTCCTTTTCTCCCTTCCCTCTTTTCCTCCCTTCCTTCTTTCATCCCGCCCTCCCTTTTTCTCCCCCTCTTTTCCTTCCTTCGCCCGTTCTCTCCTTCCCTTTCCTCCCTTCCTTCTTTCATCCCTCCCTCCCTTCTTCTCCCCTCTTTTCCTTCCTTCGCCCCTTCTCTTCCTCCCATTCCTTCCTTCCCTCTTTTCCTCCCTTTCTTCTTTCATACCTTTCCCTCTTTCCTTTCCTCCCTTTCTTCTTTCCTCCTTCCCTTCTTCTCTCCCTCTTTTCCTTCCTTCCCTCCATCTTTTCCTTCCCTCCCTCCCTCTGTGTCCCCCCTTCCTTCCATCTCTCCCTCCCCCCTCTTCTTTCCTTCATCCCCTCTCTCCCTTGTTCCTTCCCTCCCTCTTTCCCTTTCCCTTTCCTCCCTCCTTCCTTCATCCCATTCCCTCCTTTCTTCTCTCCCTCTGTTCCTCCCTCCCATGTTTCCTTCCTTCCATCCCTCCCTCTCTCTGACTCCCTCCCCCTTCCTTTCCTCCCTCCCTCCCTCTTCATCCCTCTCCCTCCCCTCCCTCCTTCCTTCCTTCTCTCCCTTCTCCTTTCCTCCCTTTTCCTTCCTTCCCTCCCACTCTCGTTGTTTCCCTCCCTCCTTCCTTTCCTTTCCCTCCCTCCTCCCCCCTTCCTTCCAACTTCCCTCCCTTCTTCTCTCCTTCCTTCCCTCCCTCTTTATCGCAGCCTCAGTTTGCTGCCTGGGAAATGGGCGCAACAGGATGTCCAGCAGGATCCAGAAGTTCTGCAGGCATCCTTTCTGCCCGCTTGCCCCCAGCCTCATTTCGGGGGGGTGGGGGGGTGTCATCCTCTCCCCCCCCACCACCACCATGACTTTGGCTGGCTCTCCTCCTCCTCCTCCTCCTCCTCCTCTCCTTCTCCTTCTCTTCCTCTTCCTCTTCTTCCTTTTTAAATAGAGATTGGACCACCATTTGTCTGGAATTGCACAGAGCAGGGGTTGGACTAGAAGACCTCCGAGGTCCCTTTTGACTCTCTTCTCCTCATCCTCCCTTGCCTCTTTCCCCCCCCCCTCCTCTCCTCCTGCCCTCTTTGCATGCTCAGATTCCCTCCCTCCCTTCTGCTCCTGGCTTCAGCCAAATGGTAAAAAAAACTAGATTGCTCCAGTTCTTTTGCCTGCACATCTGTCTGTCGTTTTTTCTTTTCTTTTCTTTTCTTTTTGTCTTTTTTTAAGGAACTGCCCGCTGGGTTGGCTTAGAACCGTTGCTTCTTCTCCACGTCATCCTCCTCCTCCTCCTCCTCCTCCTCACCAGGGACTAGCCCCCCCTCCTCTTCCTGCCTTCGTAACCTTTCACCCACAAATTCATTCCTAAAGTCGTTTTTTAGCTTTCCTCTCCTCCTCTCTCTCTCTCTCTTTCTTCTTCTTTTTTTTTTTTCTCTCTTTTACTTTTTCATTTCTTTTGCAATGACTCCACTTTGGATACAGTTAATCTGGATTTGGATACAATTAAAACAAACAAACAAACCCCGGAAGATACTTTGACTTCCTTCTTCTTCTTCTTCTCCTCCTCCTCCTCCTCCTCGTCCCTCTCGCGCCATTTACACGCACAAAACACACAAACGCACAAACACGCACAGAGAGGAGTCCGCATCCTGCCGATTGGCACCCAAATTCCTCCGCACCTAATTCGAACCCAGGACTTATGCCTAAAATCTAGCCTTGGGCCCCTATGCCCCCCCCCACACCCTCCGCAATCTCTCGATGTGGCTTTTTTTTTTTTTGCACACAAAGCCACACAATGCGATGACACAACTTGGACGTTGTCGCCTGCAGCTGAAGTACACTTGGCTGCAAAAGTCCTAGGGAAAACAGTTGGTTGCGCAAACTTTGGAAAACTTTGTATTTGTTTTCAAAGAAAAGAGAAGATATATATATATATATATATATATATATATATATATATATATAATATATATATATATATATATATACACACTTTTAATTCATAGGTTCAAATGTATAATACTTTTTTAGATCAGGGTTTTTTCCTATGTAGATCAAGTTGTTTATATGGCCATAGTGGGGTGATATATCATATTTGATATATATATATATATTCATATATATATTTGAGATATCACCCCACTATGGCCATATAAACAACTTGATCTACATAGAAAAAACCCTGACTAAAAAAGTATTATATATATATATATATATATATATATATATATATTTTGTATCTATCTATCTATCTATCTATCTATCTATCTATCTATCTATCTCCAGGCAGAGCTCAACCAGGTTGAGCAACGGAGAACGGGGAGGGAGGGAGGGAGGGAGGGAGGGTGTGTCTGTGTCGAGCCTCAGTTTCCCAGGCTGTAAAATGGGTGGAAAAAAGGATCGGTGGTGTTGGGAAGAGTGTAACACGCTGGAAATAGGACTATTCTCCCTGCGAAGGCTTAAATTTAAGTGGCTTATCCTAAGGGCTGTACGAAATGTGAAAAGGAAATGTTTCTTTTGGGGGTGAGCGGCTTGGAGAGATGTGTCTTAATTAATTAATTTAATAATAATAATAATAATAATAATAATAATATAATAATAATAATAATAATAATAATAATAATAAATAATAAATATTATTATTAATAATAATTATTATTATTATTAATTTATTAATTAATTTATTTATTTGATTTGATTTCTATACCGCCCTACTCCCGAAAGACTCAGAGCGGTGCACAGCCAAACAATAAAACACATACATACAAAATTTAAAAGTAGAATTAAAATCAAATTAAATAGTTTTGGCCCAGACAAATGATGATAATATCATCATCATCATCATCATCATCATCATCATCTTCTGGCCAAGGATGTACCTCGGTCTTCTCCTGCAATGTGCTTTTTTTTTTTTGACTCTCGAGCAAAAACATACATTCATAAGATTTCCGGGTGGTCTCCTTTACAGTTTGCTAATTCAGTGATTTCTCAACTTTAAAAGGAGTGGACTTCAACTCCCAGCATTCCCCCAGCCAGCTATGCAGTGCTGACTGGGGGGAATGCTGGGAGTTGAAGTCTGCCCCCTCTTAAAGTTACTCAGATTTCTAAGGCTGGCCTGGGGAATTCTGGGAGTTGAAGTCCACTCTTCTTTTAAGTTGCTCAGGTTTCTAATCTCCATGCTGGACCGGGGAATTCTGGGAGTTGAAGTCCACCCCTCTTAAAGTGACACAGATTTTTAAACTCCATGCTGGGCCAGGGAATTCTGGGAGTTGAAGTCCACAAAGTTACTCAGATTTTTAATCTGCATGCTGGGCCAGAGAATTCTGGGAGTTGAAGTCCACAAAGTTACTCAGATTTTAATCTGCATGCTGGACCAGGGAATTCTGGGAGTTGAAGTCTACAAAATTACTCAGATTTCTAATCTGCATGCTGGACCAGGGAATTCTGGGAGTTGAAGTCCACAAAGTTACTCAGATTTCTAATCTGCATGCTGGACCAGGGAATTCTGGGAGTTGAAGTCCACAAAATTACTCACATTTCTAATCTGCATGCTGGACCAGGGAATTCTGGGACTTGAAGTCCCTCTTAAAGTGAACTCAGATTTTTAATCTGCATGCTGGACCAGGGAATTCTGGGAGTTGAAGTCCCTCTTAAAGTGACTCAGATTTTTAATCTGCATGCTGGACCAGGGAATTCTGGGAGTTGAAGTCCCTCTTAAAGTGACTCAGATTTTTAATCTGCATGCTGGGACCAGAGGAAATTCTGGGAGTTGAAGTCCCTCTTAAAGTGACTCAGATTTTTAATCTGCATGCTGGACCAGGGAATTCTGGGAGTTGAAGTCCCTCTTAAAGTGACTCAGATTTCTAATTGCCATGCCGGACTGGGGAATTCTGGGAGGTGAAGTCCACCCCTCCTTAAGTTGCTCAGGTTTTTCATGGGGATGCTGCAACGGTCGTTAAGTGTGAAAAACGGTCGTAAATCGCTTTTTTTCAGTGCCGTTGCAACTTTGAACCGTTGCCAAACACCTGTAAGTTGAGGACTGTAAGTGGCCTAACTGCCACTCAGACAAAATTTACAAACAGTCGTTGACATACAACGGTTTGTTTAGCGACCGAT